CAAAAAAGATGCCCAACTAACTTAATTTACCAAATGGACCATCACGGCCTTGCCATATTGGTCTATTTGATCAACCTTTGTTATTATTTATTTATTTTAATTTATTTTCAGCTGTTACAGATAGGACAGACATGACTGGGGGATAGGAAGGAAGGAAGGAAGGAAGAAAAGGGGAAGAGGGACAGTGAGAAAGAGCACTTAAAAAATATCTCCCAGGTCACCTGTTGAGAGAAGAAAATAAGAGAAAACAAGCAAAAAGAGAGCAACATAATAACACAACACCATTGCAATAATCTAGCTAAGTGTAAATAACAGTAAATATTAAATACTGAATGTGATTGTGCAGCACGCAAGATTGACATCGCATAATGTGGTTTGAGGTAGCAGCCAAGAAAGGTGTAGCTTGTGTGTGAACACCTGTGTGGATGAGTGCTCGTCTATTCAAAAGGCTTCTCCATGTAACGATCTGCTAGAAGGTGTGGGGAGCCACAGCCCCGTCCCCCAGGGCATGAAGCAGGCATGGAGGAGATCCAGGCCCCAGACATCCAGAGTCCCCCAGAGTGCGAGCGCCCAAAGAGGACCACCGGAGGGGCAACCGTGCCACCTTCCTGGGAAGAGCTGAGGAGAGCCCCAGATGAGGGGTCACCCAACAGCCACAGAGCAGAAGCCAGAGGGGGCTGCAGTGACGTACACGCGGGCTCTGCCGGCAGTCAGCTGTGCCAGAGTGAATCGAGCCCCCGCAAGGGGCCCGACCGAGCCACAGGCACCAGGCCCCACCAAGCAGCCGTACCGGGGAGTAAGCTGGTACAAACCTGAGCGCCCAGCCCTGGACACCAAGAACGCACCGATGTCTGAGGGCATCAGCCACCAGCAGGGAGTGTGGTGAGGGGAAATAAGCCTCCATACCTTGGAGGGCCTGAGATGTTCCAAGGGGGTGGAGTGTAAGACCCGAGCTGACATATAGACACAGACGAATAGGCGCACACAGACCTAAACATGCATTCCCACCCTCATGCACACATATACAAATACTCGGCGCTCATCCAACCTGGATACAGACACAAATGGACACTGTACATGTACTGTACAGCACGGCCCCTCCTGAGAACCCTCAATGTCTACATGCATTTAAAACTGAGAGGTGGGCACCGGCGCCAGAGGTGAGGTTGAATACAAAGACTGTCCTCTGGACACCGTATAACATGCCCGATCCCAAGGCCCTATATGTATGTGTTATGAGAGTGTGAGTAATGTGGATGTCTAGGTTGTGGAATAAAATCAGTCTGCTGATAAAACAGTGAGCACAGTGAGAAGATCTTCACTGAGCTGATCCATCTCATCTCATAAAATTGAGGCACAGGTGACCAGGAGGGGACAGAGGGGGAACGACCTTTTATTGCTTTTTTCTACAACAATTTCTTAGTTCAGCTGCAGTATTTGATATCCTGTAATGACTAAAATGATAATTTAAACAAATTTACATAAAAAGATTGTCTTTTAAATGTTAAGTTTATTTAACAACTTTAAAGGCTGAGCAGTGCTATTTTTAAATGAAAAACTCACAGGCTCACATGTTCCAGGATTGAATTAGTTTCTGATAACCCTCCCTCTTCCTGCTCTCTAACTCAGCACCTCCTCTCTGTCCACATGTTCCCTTGTTCCCTCCCCTTCTGATCTGCAGTTTGAAGATGGGTGCAACCAACATGTGGTGACGTATAAGAGCTGACAGATCCCATTCGCTACAGAAACCTATGTTGTTTAGATCAGAGCAGTTTCAGTTCTGAGGAAGTGAAACTCACACAGTCACTGACACTGTTGGGTGAAATGGCGCAGAAAAGTGTTCAGCTGGACCGAGAAACCTTCTCTTGTTCGATCTGTTTGGATCTACTGAAGAATCCGGTGGCTCTTCCCTGTGGACACAGCTACTGCATGAAGTGTATTGAAAGCTTCTGGGATGAAGAGGAAAAGAAGAAAATCTACAGCTGCCCTCAGTGCAGACAGACTTTCACAGCGAGGCCTGTCCTGGTGAAAAACACCATGTTAGCAGTTTTAGTGGAGGAGCTGAAGAAGACTGGACTCCAAGCTGCTCCTGCTGATCACTGCTATGCTGGACCTGAAGATGTGGCCTGTGATGTCTGCACTGGAAGAAAAATGAAAGCCTTCAAGTCCTGTCTGGTGTGTTTGGTCTCTTACTGTGAGAAACATGTTAAGCTTCATTATGAATGTCCTGCATTTGACAAACACAAGCTGGTGGAGCCCTCCAAGAAGCTCCAGGAGAACATCTGCTCTCGTCATGATGAGGTGATGAAGATGTTCTGCCGTACTGATCAGCAGAGTATCTGTTATCTCTGCCCTGTGGATGAACATAAAGGCCACGACACAGTCTCAGCTGCAGCAGAAAGGACTGAGAGGCAGAGAGAGCTGGAGGTGAGTCGACAAAACATCCAGCAGAGAATCCAGGACAGAGAGAAAGATGTGAAGCTGCTTCAACAGGAGGTGGAGGCCATCAATCAGTCTGCTGATCAAACAGTGGAGCACAGTGAGAAGATCTTCACTGAGCTGATCCATCTCATCCAGAAAAGAAGCTCTGATGTGAAGCAGCAGATCAGATCCCAGCAGGAAACTGAAGTGAGTCGAGTCAAAGAGCTTCAGGAGAAGCTGGAGCAGGAGATCACTGAGCTGAAGAGGAAAGATGCTGAGCTGAAGCAGCTCTCACACACAGAGGATCACATCCAGTTTCTACACAACTACCCCTCACTGTCAGCACTCAGTGAGTCTACAGACTCATCCAGCATCAATATCCGTCCTCTGAGCTACTTTGAGGATGTGACAGCAGCTGTGTCAGAGGTCAGAGATAAACTACAGGACATTCTGAGAGAGGAACGGACAAACATCTCACTGACAGTCACTGAAGTGGATGTTTTACTGTCACAACCAGAGCCAAAGACCAGAGCTGGATTCTTAAAATATTCATGTGAAATCACACTGGATCCAAACACAGCAAACACACAGCTGTTATTATCAGAGGGGAACAGAAAAGTAACAGTTATGAATCAACAACAGTCTTATTCTGATCATCCAGACAGATTCACTAGAAGGTATCAGGTCCTGAGTAGAGAGAGTCTGACTGAACGTTGTTACTGGGAGGTGGAGTGGAGAGGGGCAGGAGTTTATGTAGCAGTCGCATACAAGAATATCAGCAGAAAAGGATGGCATGAATCTGATTTTGGACATAATGACAAATCTTGGTCATTAAATTGTGACAACAACAGTTTTACATTTTGGTACAACAACATCCACACTCCTGTCTCAGGTCCTCGTTCCTCCAGAGTAGGAGTGTACCTGGATCACAGAGCAGGTATTTTGTCCTTCTACAGCGTCTCTGAAACCATGACTCTCCTCCACAGAGTCCAGACCACATTCACTCAGCCGCTCTATGCTGGACTGAGGCTTTACTATAATTATTATTATGGAGCCACTGCTGAGTTGATTAAAGTGAAATAGACTGAAGTCTTTCATATTGTTGTAAGTTTAAATCTGTATTTTAGTTCCCTTTTAGTTTCTCTCCATCATTATTGTGGTATTTATGTGCTGCACATAAATCAGATGTCAGTCAAACATTATGGGCAGTACCTCGACATCTTCAACATGTTGTCTTGATGTTTTTACGTTTTATAGGTGGAGCTCTTTCCTGTGTCTGTTCAGCCATGGAGACTATCAATGCTTATGGATATTTTTATTTGAAAAATTTCTCCACATGACAACATAAACTTCTCTATCTTCTAAATGTTTACTGAATATTTTTCTTAGGTATTTGTATGTTGTTGTTTCTCTTCACTGATCTTAACAGAGAAGTCTACAGACCTTCCTTTATCACACAGATTTTATTCTCATTTGTACATTTATAAAGAAAACAATTAATTACAGAGCAATAAGAAATTTTAAGAAAGTGCACTATATCATAATTTATAGTAAAGTGTATTAAAGCATCGTTAGTTAGTCACTTATTTAGTTTGGAGCTGTATCATCTGACACTGTAGAAACATTTCCTCCAGCTTCAGCACAGAATGTTAAAAACAGAACTATTAATGAGAACAAACAGTAGGAACACAGTATCAGCAAACATCATGGCTTAAAATGGAGAGTAAAAATCTAAAAAGAAATAAACAAATTAGTAAAAAGGATTTCCTGTTGACATGTTATTGGTCCTATCTTGTCTGCAGCACCTCCAGGATGCTTCTTATATGTTTCTGGTTATTTTTGCACCAATTTTAGTTTTTGTCAGTAGGAAGTTCAAGTTCAACTCAGTGTGTTTGTTTGTTTTTTTCAAACTGATGCCTGACCTTGAACACCAAACATCTGTCAATAAAGCAATGATATAAAATGCTTATATTAGTACTGAAAAACTGCATATCCACTTTACAAATATAAATAATGATATAAATCCACAGCTGAACTGGAGGAGCAGCTGATCTAGTTCACTCATGTGTTTCTGGACTAAGAGTTGGAGCAAATACCTTATGATTCAGTGATGTTTGTTTTTGTTCAATATTTTGTAGATCCAAGAGTGAGTTTGACTCATGATGATGATGTTCCGAATTAAACAAAGTTGGTCACAAATTCTTCAAAGCTGTTTATTAAGAATATATTCACTTGGACTCATGAGACAGGCTTGTGATCCAAGGGAGCCATCAACTGGACAATTACTGACATGACAACAAAAAAGCTAAGTACAGAGGGGGAACAGAGGTGAAAATACTTGCTTTAAAGGATTGTAATGTTTCCTTTTAAAATAAGTCTCTAAGGTCAGACAAAGGGACAGAAACTCATAGCTTTCTACCAGCCCAATGACAAAACTATAAGTTGTTTTTTAACATCTACTTTTTCATCTATTTGGCAGTCACAGTGAAAAGTATAAACATTGGCACGCTTTGTCTTGTGATTCTGCTGTTCGTAAAAAATGACCATGCGCAAAGTACCAGACTTGAAGGCTTTGACTTGATGCCAATGGCCTGAGGAGGACAGTATTACCCTTGGACATGTGTAGTCTGCCGTCTACTCAATAGAAGAAGAAGAAGCGCGGAAATGGCACAACTGTCTTCAGTTTCTGGGAGAGTTTAACAATGAGAGACTGATGATGCAGAAGAAATCTCCGTGGTTAAAAACATTAAAAACAGTCGTCCAGGATGATGAGATCCGCCACTGGCTCAGACTGCTGTATATCAGCCGGAGACCCGAGATGAAGTCACGCAGCAGGTATGTAAAACTGTGATGTTCTCAATGAACTAACACAGGAACGATCTGAGCTCAGTCTGTAAGCTAACAGGCTAAAATCAGAGAGCAGCTAATCAAACAAGTGCGTCCGTTTTTTTTAAAAGGTAAACTTTTAACAATAGACTTTCATGAGACACATCAAAACCAAACAGGGAGGGAAAGCTTCGGTTTTCTGCACTGTGCCACAGTTCGCTGTCTGCTTCGGTTCACGACGCCTCACTCCGGGGCTACAGACAGTTCTCTGCCGCCTGTGGTGCTCCTCACCTCCGTCTGCACCCACAGACTTCCCGAGGTGGAGGCAGGCCGGCAGGGACTTTGAGAGATGGGCTTTACTTTTAAAAATAGCCCTTAATCAGGGTCTAACTCACTAAAAGATGGCCACATGTCTCTCTCCAACTTAATCTCTTTCTTTTAAGTAATTGTTTTTCATTGAAATGAAATTAATTGTTCAATAAAATGATTACATTTATAATTGAATTAAAGTTAAATGAATCAAGGTGATTTTGACTTTGCTAGTTAACAGGAAGAGAAACAAACTTACACAGGATAAAATGAAATTTGGACCCAGCAGAAAAAGTCAGATCACAGACAAACAGAAACATTCCTCTTTGGCTAAAATAAAATGCAGATTATTGCTCATCTGCAGTTTTAATCATGGTGAATAATTTATGATTCAGCCAAGTAAGATTCTTCTGTGTGGAGGTTTTTCCCCTGTCAAAAGGCATTGACCATTACCTTCATCTAAACATGGAATTTAAGTCATGTAGTTGCCGTTGTTTGTTTTTAAAGAGGTCATAATATTTTTGTGATGGTAGAAATTTATCTTCAAAGTAATAGTTATAAAGTGAATTAATAAGACTTTCCAACAAAGAGAGGGAGTCACATGGTGCTTCTGAAACATTTGTACAAACCTCTCTCACATATGTGAGCAACATGCTCACAGTGTACAGCCCTGCTGACTGAGGCTGCACCTTTACCTGTCTAATCTTTTTCTTTTTACTTTGTTCCTCAAGTCCCACATCAACATGAAGTGTAAGGAGGAGGAAGATCTGGCTGGCCAGCAGGTCTGGAAGCAGGAGAGGAACTTCAATCTGGACCAGGAGGACACAGATCCCCCACAGATCAAAGAGGAACAGGAGGAACTCTGCATCAGTCAAGAGGGAGAACAGCTTGTAGTGAAACACGAGGATGAAGGCATCGTCGTCTGGAGCGGGGAAGAGCGGCTCAGACAGCTGCATAACATCTGGAAACCTGAGAAAGATTTACAGACCAGCGGTAAAACTGTAATCGCTTTTCTGAAGTGTTAACATTAATATTAAACCTACAGTTTGTATCAGTCAGATCTATTTAATGTGTATTCGTGAAAACATGACAGGGAGTTTTAAATGGACTGGTTCTTATATAGCGCTTTTCTACTCAATCTTGAGCACTCAAAGCGCTTTACAAAACTTGTGCATTCACCCACTCACTCCCATTCGCACAAGCACATTTTTCTTAGTGCTTTCTACCAACATTCAGACACACATTCCACAGATCAAAGAGCAACTTGAGGCAACTTGGAGTTAGTATCTTGCCCAAGGATATTTGAAATGCAGACTAGGTGAAGCCGGGAATCGAACCGATCAGTAGATGATCTGCTCTACCGCCTGAGCTACAGCCACCCCCAATAGTGAAGATTATTTTGAAAAATATCAAGATGTAGATCAGTTTCGAGATCAACTCCAAAATAGATCATCAGTCAGTCAGTAATAAGTGAGTTCTTTTTTGTTTGAAAGGTTTTTTTTACTCTTAATGTTGCTGAAAAATGTCAGAACTCAAGTTCTCATTTGCATCAGAGTGCACAAATAACTTCATTTTTACACACTTTTAATTTCACCTGCAAATGTGAGCAACATGCCCTCATTACAGACTTTAACTAAAACTTTATCTTCTCAGAAGTGTTTTTCTATAATTACATTTTTTTTATTGTTCGTTTAGAAGCAATAGTGGAGAGACCGGCTGACTGCTGCAGAAGAAATCTGCTCTGAGGTTAACAGAACGTCTGATCGTCCAGTATGAGATCAACCTTCAGCAGAGACTGCTGGATATCAGCCGGAAACCCGAGATAAAGTTACGCATAACAGGTAAAACTGCGATGGTCTCAGTGGACTAACACAAGAATACAACTCATGTAGGACCTGATCAGAGCTCAGCTTGTAGGCTAACATACTGAAATCAGGGAGCGGCTAATCACACAAGTGCGTCTCTTTTTTACGGTAAACTTTTAGCATTAAACAAACCTTGAGACCGAGAGAAAGTGCCTTTATAGAAGATTTATTTAGAAGATTAAGATAAAAGAGGCAGGGAGGGAAAGCTTCTGTTTTCTGCACTGTGCCACAGTTCGCTGTCTGCTTCGGCTCTCTGACCCTCACTCCGGGGCTACAGACAGTCCTCTGCCGCCTGTGGTGCTCCTCACCTCCGTCTGCACCCACAGACTTCCCGAGGTGGAGGCAGGCCGGCAGGGACTTTGAGAGATGGGCTTTACTTTCAAAAATACCCCTTAATCAGGGTCTAACCCTACAAGACCATCGTGCCTCCCCCACCATCCTCACCTCATGTTAAAATGTATATTTTTCAACTGAATTATATTTGGGTTCAAGAAAATGATGAAGTTTTTAAAATAACTTTGTAATGTTCTAATAAACAGTCTTAACTCGAACTAAATCAGCTCAAATCTCACAGATGTCAGTGTTATTCACAAAGCATGGAAACATAGTTGTTAGTTTTGAATGCAGCCACAGCAGGCAAACTATGGCTGCATGCTCCAAAGAACAGGAGCACAGTAACTGAACACACTCTTAGCACACTTACATCTGATTTTGGGAACAGTTAACAGATCTGAACCTGATGACCTGAGAGGTTTAACTGGGTCAAAGGTCGAGAGCCAATTGAGAACTGTCCAGTTAAACCAACTAAATGATGAAACCTTTGATTTAAAATGTCATGATCAACAGTATCAAAGGCAGCAATGAGATCAAATAGAACTAAGACTGAAACTCTGAGTCCCTAATAATCTTCAGATCACTGATGACTTTAGTTGGGTTGATTCTGTGCAATGACTGGCTGTGAAACCTGACTGGTACTTATCTGCTATGGCACTGTGAGATTTTCAGTTTAATCTACAACAATGACAAACATTTACTTGCAGCGTGAAGCTGGCAGCAGCTACCTGAATGATTTGTACTCTGAACTTTCCTAATAAGAGTATCAGAGCTCGAGAGTAACTTACACTTTCATTTTTCACATTTGTACAGTTTAAATTTCACTCCCATATGAGGACATGCTCAGAGTGGACTATATTTGCTCAGATGTGTTTTCCTGTCATCACATTATTAACCTTTTTCCTCAGTGACCCTTTGTTCCTCAAGATCTCCCCCTAACATGAAGTGTGAGGAAGAGGAGGGCCTGTATGACCAGCAGGTCTCCAACCAGGAGAGGAACTCCAGTCTGGACCAGGAGGGCCCAGATCCTCCACAGATCAAAGAGGAAGAGGAGGAACTCTGCATCAGCGATGACGTAGAAAAGATTGTACTCAAACAGGAGGATGAAGGCCTCATCTGGACTGAAGAAGAGCAGCTCAGACAGCTGGATAACATCTGGAAACCTGAAATGAACTTACACAGCAGGGGTATGTAAAACCGTAATGGTCTTACCTAAAAATTAATATGACTTTAATTCATTCAATAAAGATATTTTGGAAACACATCAGAGTTCTTCAAGGCCAGTGTTTAAATAAACTCAGCTGATTGTTAGTCGAGGTTTTCTGAGAGCTTCGCTGCTTTTTATCCCCATATTTTAATCCTACTTTTAAATTTCCCCTTCTGTCTGATGTTTGTCTTATCATTTACATAAACATCTTTCCAACAGTAATTGGTGGACAAACTGTGATTGGTGCATAGAAATTTACTAACGTGTTAGAAGTGAGTGCATGAAATCTTATTTTAACAGTTTCCAGGTCTGGGTAAATGATATGATGATATTTCGGATGATATTTTGATTAAACTCTGTTGTAGAGTTGGAAATGGACAGCTGTAGACACCACTGCCGAGTAGTCATTCTTGTTATACTTCTATATTTATCTAAGACAAGTAATTTTGTCCATTTGTCACCTCAGCTTTCCCACAACAGCATGAATGTGAGGAGGAACTGGTTTTTGGGGACCAGGAGAGAAACTTCAGCCTCGACCAGGAGGATCCGGAGCTTCCACAGATAAAAGAGGAAGAGGAGGAACCTTGCACCAGTCAGGACGTAGATCAGCTTGTAGTGAAGCAGGAGACTGAAGGCATTATTATCTTCATGGTGGCTCCTACTTATGAGGAAAGTGAGCCAGAGCTGGACAGTGAACATCTCCTTTCTTCCAGCTCTCCTGAACCAGAGAGCAGAGATCAGCAAGACAACTTTCCTGTGTCAGAGAGTCAGCGTAAAACTGACACAAGTAAAAAGTTTGTGAAATGTGAGATTTGTGGAAAAACCTTTGAGTACAGATCCAAACTAACGAGACATATGAGGGTTCACACAGGTGAGAAGCCACATTCTTGCAGCACCTGCGGAAAAAGATTCAGCCTGATGATAAACTTGAAAACTCACATGAGAATCCACACAGGTGAAAAGCTTCATTCAGAGGATACAGTTACAAAGACACATGAGGATTCACACTAGTTAAAAGTGGGAGAACTGTCAGATGAAGCAGTCCACTGAGAAGCCAGATCAGAGCAGATCAGATGACCTCCTTCCTTAAAAAACTCTGTATTGTTTATTGTATGTAGGGGTGGGAGATATAGCCTCAAAATAATATTTCAAGAAACTTACATTTAAAAAAAATAATGTACATTTTATCAGCTCGGCAGGCAGCAGCATTTATATGTGTAAGTAAATGATGGATTTTCCATCTTTCTCTTCCAGTGAGCTGCTGTCACTGATGACAGCTTAGCTAATTCAAAGTGTGAAAATGTGGCCACCTCAAGGTGCTTGATATTGTAAGGTAAAGACCCAACAATAATACAATGAAAACAGAGAAAACCCAAACAGTCATATGACCCCCTATTAGCAAGCGTTTTGGCGACAGTGGGAAGGAAAAACTCCTTTTTAACAGGAAGAAACCTCCAGCAGAACCAGGCTCAGGGAGGGACCCCCATCTGCAACAAGGAAAGTTTTAAGTCTAATCTTAAAAGCTGAAGGCTCTGCCTCCCATTCTACCTTTAAATACTCTATGAACAACATTATAGTGCAATGTTAGTGACACGGCATACATGAAATATGAGCACATAAGTATCCTCAGGGGTGTTTTTCCTGGAAGTTTTAAGAAAAGTGTATTACAAGTGCTTACACTCTAGCTTAATATCCAAAATAACCTTGTAATGCGGAGCCTGCACAATTCTGTCATATAAGCAGAGGTGGAAAGTAACGAATTACATTTACTTGCGTTACTGTAATTGAGTAGTTTTTTTGTGTATTTGTACTTTTTAAAGTCATTTTTCAAGTCTGTAATTTTACTTTTACTTAAGTATATTTTTTAAAAAGTATTGTAGTTCGCTACGTTTTCAATCACACCCGTTACTGAGTAAATTAAAAAAACCATTGCACTTCGGAAATACTGCAGGGAATGATGGGTAGTAGAACAAATTGGCGCTAAGGTCACGTTAAAGATGGAGTCTGACATCGGTGTTATGGATCCAGTGAAAAAAGAAGCCCCGTCGAATTCTGCTGACCCTGAACTCGAAGAAACGGATGTGAACCCCTGGCCGTATTTAAGGGACCATTTCGGCTTCAAGTGCAAGAAAGGCAACAGCTTTATTATGCAGTGTAAGCTGTGTTTGCCCAGAGAGACCGAGTTAGCAGCTTTTAAAAATTCCACATCAAACCTGCGCAAGCATGTGGAGGTAAGTTAAATACAACTCGTACCGTTATGGTAGCAAAAAGGCTGTGTTCAAATTAATCACATTAAGTTAAGACATCTGTGAAGAACACAGATAACGTTGGTTGGTACTAGCAACTTGCTGTAATCGGGCACGTTGTTGTCCACGCAACTTACATTTTTTTTACTGGGTTGGTAAATTGCCAAAAGAAAATGTGTTTACCTACGTTTTTCCTGTTTGTTAATAATAAGAATTTATTTAAAAAAATAGTTAAATTAAAGACAGAAGCAGCTACTTTCTTACTTAACCCACATATGTTCACACTGCAGGCAAAAGAATAACAGAGCGCTCACTTACCTTAGATTAGTCAAAGACAGCTGACTTCTGTTACTTGTTAATTAGCACTTGCAACCTCCCGTTAACTAGCCTGTTACTGTCCAATAAAAAAAACCCACGAGGTATATTGGTATAATTTACCAGCGGTAGCTATGTAATGCATTGATGTCTTATTAGGGACATCAAAAAACTTTCTCTCAAACTTAACACTGGCCTGCCTGCCTCAGCTGCCTTCGAGCGTCTCTTTAGCTGTGCTGGACTACTGTTCACTGCAAAGTGAGCAAGGATGAACTCTACTAACTCTGAAAATCAACTGCTCCTCAAAATTAACAGGAAGTTCAGAGAGTAACACTCTAGGATGGATACAGAGGAACTTTAATCTAGAGGTACAGTAGGGCAGGGCCAAGTTTAAAAAATTCAAAAACATTTTTAAAGCAGCTGCCGTTCAGTTCAGTACTTGTTCTCTTATTTGACAGTTTAGAACACATTCTCATGTGAAAGAATGATATGGTTTTGTATTGAAAACACTGTGATACCTGACGGTTTGGTTTGGTTGATTGGTTTGGTGACCATTATCCATTTTCATGTATAGACTTGCAGTTTAACTGCCACTGCACTTTAATTTGTAAAGTTTTTCTTTTCACTAAAAAAGAACTACTTTGAGATTTATATCCCACTGTCCTTTTTTGCACTACTCAGAAGCGGCTGTCCTCCTGCTGACAGAAAAGTAACTATGTAACTTTTACTCTGAGTACATTTTAAATGAGCTACTTTTTACTTTTACTTGAGTACATTTTTAGACAGGTAATTTTACTTGTACTTGAGTAAAATTTCAGCAAAGTAATAGTACTTTTACTTGAGTAAAATATTTTAGTACTCTTTCCACCTCTGCATATAAGGAAAAGAAATTCTACCTGGTTTGTTTCATCTTGGGTCGAGCTTTTTAACCTCCTGCTTTTCCACCGTGTAGCACATCAGTAATTTCCATCCACTGACTGCTCTTGCTGTTATATGAAATGTAACTCGCGAGTGCTCCAGTGATGCATGGTTGAATCATTTGTTTACCTTTGGGTCGCACATCACTGCTGCTAGTATCTCCTGCTCACGTGCCTTCACAGCCCGGTTGTACTCAAGTGTGTTTTTGCTTAAAGTGTTGTAACAGGTTTGCTTTTTTCACTTTCAGTGGGAAAAGTTTTCTTGCATATTTTGCGAACATTCAGCTACCAAACTGTGACTGGAGCCCGACATATGGCTCTGGCTGTGAGACATGACTGGGGTTGACTCATTGGGGTGAATGCAAACACATGATGTTCCTCTAAACACACTTTTTTGTAAACATTTATACCAGTATTATTGCAGATCATATGATATGTCACAGCCCTAATTCTGTTTGTTGCATATTCCATTAAAACCTGTAATGAAGATGAAACACGTATTTACATTCATTTGATGTGATATTTGTATCGTGTTGAGCTGTGGAGGTGACAAAAAAGTTGCTGAGATGTTTTATTTTTTTGTTTAGTGGAGAGGTTTTACTCCACAGAGTCAAAGCTGGAAAGAAACACACATGAGACCAAACATTTTGTGATTTAATCTTGATTTTCATGAAGACTGAATTTCAGCATGTGCTCATCCTGTTGATTCGTATGTTGGTGTTGGTTATGTGTCTTAAAAGTGAAATAAAGATTTCTTTAAAACTTCTTGTGGCTATTTTTTTAAGGCACAATCTTTACAACATGAAACAACGTCTGTGAAGCACATTTTGTACAGTGGGCAGGGAGACTTGCCCATCACTGTGGTGGTGGGGTGGATGAGATTTGCCTGCGGTCACTTAAGGCTCTGTATGTTGTGGGTCTGTCCTGGTTGTCCTGCTCAAACATTGTATGGACGTTGAGGTCAGTGCCTTCAGACCGGCCAACTATGGTGGTAATCATGGTCCCCTGTTTTATGAAGGGAGTGTAGAGGGTATGTTTGCACTTCAGGCCTCCCTAGGAAGGTCTATATCTGTAGTCACTTTCACTGTTTTCTTATTGCTGTTTCAAATTGTTGTTTCTGTTTGTAGCCTTTTTATTGAAGGATTTTGGTTTATATTATTAATATGTGCATTTGTTGTTATTAATAATATTTGCTTCACTCTCCATTTGATGTGTTTTTGGTATGTTTTACTTTTAATTGTTCTACACTCAACAAAAATATAAACGCAACACCTTTGTTTCTGCTCCGATTTGACATGGGATGGACATAAAGACCTAAAAGTCACTCCAGATACACAATATTACCATCCCTCCCAAACATTGTTCACAAATCAGTCTAAATGTGTGATAGTGAGCACTTCTGCTTTGCTGAGATAATCCATCCCACCTCACAGGTGTGCCACATCAGGATGCTGATCTGACATCATGAGTAGTGCACAGGTGTACCTCAGACTGCCCACAACAAAAGGCCACCCTGGAATGTGCAGTTTTATCTCACAGCAAAATGCCACAGATGCCACATGCATTGAGGGAGCGTGCAATTGGCATGCTGACAGCAGGAATGTCAACCAGATCTGTTGCCCGTGCATTGAATGTCCATCCCTCAACCATAAGCCGTCTCCACAGGCGTTTCAGAGAATATGGCAGCACATCCAACCGGCCTCACAACCGCAGACCTCGTGTAACCACACCAGCCCAGGACCTCCACATCCAGCAGGTTCACCTCCAAGAACGTCTGAGACCAGCCACTCAGACAGCTGCTGGAACAATTGGTGTGCACAACCAAACAATTTCTGCACAAACTGTCAGAAACCGTCTCAGGGAGGCTCAACTGCATGCTCGCCGTCCTCATCGGGGTCTTGACCTGACTCCAGCTCGTCGCCGCAACAGACTTGTGTGGGCAAATGCTCACATCCGATGGCGTCTGGCACGTTGGAGAGGTGTTCTCTTCACGGATGAATCTCGGTTCACATTGTTCAGGGCAGATGGCAGACAGCGTGTGTGGCGTCGTGTGGGTGAGCGCTTTGCTGATGTCAATGTTGTGGATCGAGTGGCCCATGGTGGTGGTGGGGTTATGGTATGGGCAGGCATCTGTTATGGACGAAGAACACGGGTGCATTTCATTGATGGCATTCTGAATGCACAGAGATACCGTGATGAGATCCTGAGGCCCATTGTTGTGCCATACATCCATGAACATCACCTCATGTTCCAGCAAGATAATGCACGGCCCCATGTTGCAAGGATCTGTACACAGTTCTTGGAAGCTGAGAATGTCCCAGTTCTTGCATGGCCAGCATACTCACCGGACATGTCACCCATTGAACATGTTCTGGATGTGCTTGACCGGCGTATACGACAGCGTGTACCAGTTCCCACTAATATCCAACAACCTCGCAGAGCCATTGAAGAGGAGTGGACCAACATTCCACAATTGACAATCTGATAAACTCCATGCGAAGACTATGTGTTGCACTGCATGAGGCAAATGGTGGTCACACCAGATACTGACTGGTTCTGAGTCCCCAGACCCCCAATAAAGCAAAAAACTGCACATTCCAGGGTGGCCTTTTATTGTGGGTAGTATAAGGTACACCTGTGCACTACTCATGATGTCAGATCAGCATCTTGATGTGGCACACCTGTGAGGTGGGATGGATTATCTCAGCAAAGCAGAAGTGCTCACTATCACACATTTAAACTGATTTGTGAACAATGTTTGGGAGGGATGGTAATATTGTGTATCTGGAGTGACTTTTAGGTCTTTATGTCCATCCCATGTCAAATCGGAGCAGAAACAAAGGTGTTGCGTTTATATTTTTGTTGAGTGTATGATTATGTTTATGTGGGGTTTATAATTATATTTAAGTTCTGGGTTTTTTTTATGAATAAAAGTGACTTAACTTGTCAGAGATATGAGACTTTGGGCATTTCCCCTTCTGTCTTATTCTCAGTGTCTTGTCTCCATGTTTATTTACCTCTGTGTTGCTATCTTTGTGTCTCTGTCTCTTTCTCTTCCCCTGTTCAGTGGGATTTAAGACTTCCAACAAATAATTTCAAAGGGTCAATTAAATTTTAATAAAACCATTTTACTCAACACTGCACTCTAATTTTAGCATTTTTTTTTTTACTCAATCATAAAAAGATTCATCTTAAAAGATGTTTTAGAGACATTTTTATTACTTTTTTCTCTTTCTTTCTTTCTTTCTTTCTTTCTTGTTTTTTAGCCATCAGAATTATTGTCTGAAGGCCAAAAAAGATGCCCAACTAACTTAATTTACCAAATGGACCATCACGGCCTTGCCATATTGGTCTATTTGATCAACCTTTGTTATTATTTATTTATTTTAATTTATTTTCAGCTGTTACAGATAGGACAGACATGACTGGGGGATAAGAAAGAAAGAAAGAAAGAAAGAAAGAAAGAAAGAAAGAAAGAAAAGGGGAAGAGGGACAGTGAGAAAGGGCACTTAAAAAATATCTCTCAGGTCACCCGTTGAGAGAAGAAAATAAGAGAAAACAAGCAAAAAAGAGAGCAACATAATAACACAACACCATTGCAATAATCTAGCTAAGTGTAAATAACAGTAAATATTAAATACTGAATGTGATTGTGCAGCACGCAAGATTGACATCGCATAATGTGGTTTGAGGTAGCAGCCAAGAAAGGTGTAGCTTGTGTGTGTGAACACCTGTGTGGATGAGTGCTCTTCTATTCAAAAGGCTTCTCCATGTAACGATCTGCTAGAAGGTGTGGGGAGCCACAGCCCCGTCCCCCAGGGCATGAAGCAGGCATGGAGGAGATCCAGGCCCCAGACATCCAGAGGCCCCCAGAGTGCGAGCGCCCAAAGAGGACCACCGGAGGGGCAACCGTGCCACCTTCCTGGGAAGAGCTGAGGAGAGCCCCAGATGAGGGGTCACCCAACAGCCACAGAGCAGAAGCCAGAGGGGGCTGCAGTGACGTACACGCGGGCTCTGCAGGCAGTCAGCTGTGCCAGAGTGAATCGAGCCCCCGCAAGGGGCCCGACCGAGCCACAGGCACCAGGCCCCACCAAGCAGCCGTACCAGCAGTGAGCTGGTACAGACCTGAGCGCCCAGCCTTGGACACCAAGTATGCACCGATGTCTGAGTTCATCAACCAGGGAGTGTGGTGAGGGGAAATAGGCCTCCATACCTTGGAGGGCCTGAGATGTTCCAAGGGGGTGGAGTCTAAGACTAGGCACACACAGACCCAAACATGCATTCCCACCCTCATGCACACATATACAAATACTCGGCGCTCATCCAACCTGGATACAGACACAAATGGACACTGTACATGTACTGTACAGCACGGCCCCTCCTGAGAACCCTCAATGTCTACATGCATTTAAAACTGAGAGGTGGGCACCGGCACCAGAGGTGAGGTTGAATACAAAGACTGTCCTCTGGACACCGTATAACATGCCCGATCCCAAGGCCCTATATGTATGTGTTATGAGAGTGTGAGTAATGTGGATGTCTAGGTTGTGGAATAAAATCAGTCTGCTGATAAAACAGTGAGCACAGTGAGAAGATCTTCACTGAGCTGATCCATCTCATCTCATAAAATTGAGGCACAGGTGACCAGGAGGGGACAGAGGGGGAACGACCTTTTATTGCTTTTTTCTACAACAATTTCTTAGTTCAGCTGCAGTATTTGATATCCTGTAATGACTAAAATGATAATTTAAACTAATTTACATAAAAAGATTGTCTTTTAAATGTTAAGGTTATTTAACAACTTTAAAGGCTGAGCAGTGCTATTTTTAAATGAAAAACTCACAGGCTCACATGTTCCAGGATTGAATTAGTGTCTGATAACCCTCCCTCTTCCTGCTCTCTAACTCAGCACCTCCTCTCTGTCCACATGTTCCCTTGTTCCCTCCCCTTCTGATCTGCAGTTTGAAGATGGGTGCAACCAACATGTGGTGACGTATAAGAGCTGACAGATCCCATTCGCTACAGAAACCTATGTTGTTTAGATCAGAGCAGTTTCAGTTCTGAGGAAGTGAAACTCACACAGTCACTGACACTGTTGGGTGAAATGGCGCAGAAAAGTGTTCAGCTGGACCGAGAAACCTTCTCTTGTTCGATCTGTTTGGATCTACTGAAGAATCCAGTGGCTATTCCCTGTGGACACAGCTACTGCATGAAGTGTATTGAAAGCTTCTGGGATGAAGAGGAAAAGAAGAAAATCTACAGCTGCCCTCAGTGCCGGAGGACTTTCACAGCGAGGCCTGTCCTGGTGAAAAACACCATGTTAGCAGTTTTAGTGGAGGAGCTGAAGAAGACTGGACTCCAAGCTGCTCCTGCTGATCACTGCTATGCTGGACCTGAAGATGTGGCCTGTGATGTCTGCACTGGAAGAAAAATGAAAGCCTTCAAGTCCTGTTTATTCTGTCTGGCATCTTACTGTGAGAAACACCTTCAGCCTCATTATGATTCACCTACATTCAAGAAACACAAGCTGGTGGAGCCCTCCAAGAAGCTCCAGGAGAAGATCTGCTCTCGTCATGATGAGGTGATGAAGATGTTCTGCCGTACTGATCAGCAGAGTATCTGTTATCTCTGCTCTGTGGATGAACATAAAGGCCACGACACAGTCTCAGCTGCAGCAGAAAGGACTGAGAGGCAGAGAGAGCTGGAGGTGAGTCGACAAAACATCCAGCAGAGAATCCAGGACAGAGAGAAAGATGTGAAGCTGCTTCAACAGGAGGTGGAGGCCATCAATCAGTCTGCTGATCAAACAGTGGAGCACAGTGAGAAGATCTTCACTGAGCTGATCCATCTCATCCAGAAAAGAAGCTCTGATGTGAAGCAGCAGATCAGATCCCAGCAGGAAACTGAAGTGAGTCGAGTCAAAGAGCTTCAGGAGAAGCTGGAGCAGGAGATCACTGAGCTGAAGAGGAAAGATGCTGAGCTGAAGCAGCTCTCACACACAGAGGATCACATCCAGTTTCTACACAACTACCCCTCACTGTCAGCACTCAGTGAGTCTACAGACTCATCCAGCATCAATATCCGTCCTCTGAGCTACTTTGAGGATGTGACAGCAGCTGTGTCAGAGGTCAGAGATAAACTACAGGACATTCTGAGAGAGGAATGGACAAACATCTCACTGACAGTCACTGAAGTGGATGTTTTACTGTCAGATCCACAAGCAGAGCCAAAGACCAGAGCTGGATTCTTAAAATATTCATGTGAAATCACACTGGATCCAAACACAGCACACAAACAGCTGTTATTATCAAAGGGGAACAGAAAAGTAACAAGGATGTATGAGCAGTCTTATTCTGATCATCCAGACAGATTCACTAAAAGGCGTCAGGTCCTGAGTAGAGAGAGTCTGACTGGACGTTGTTACTGGGAGGTGGAGAGGAGAGGGGGAGGAGTTTATGTAGCAGTCGCATACAAGAATATCAGCAGAAAAGGAGATGAATGTGTTTTTGGATGGAATGACAAATCTTGGTCATTATATTGTAACAACAACATCCAAACTCGTGTCTCAGGTCCTCGTTCCTCCAGAGTAGGAGTGTACCTGGATCACAGAGCAGGTATTTTGTCCTTCTACAGCATCTCTGAAACCATGACTCTCCTCCACAGAGTCCAGACCACATTCACTCAGCCGCTCTATGCTGGACTGTTGGTTTACGATGATTATGGAGACACTGCTGAGTTGATTAAAGTGAAATAGACTGAAGTCTTTCATATTGTTGTAAGTTTAAATCTGTATTTTAGTTCCCTTTTAGTTTCTCTCCATCATTATTGTGGTATTTATGTGCTGCACATAAATCAGATGTCAGTCAAACATTATGGGCAGTACCTCGACATCTTCAACATGTTGTCTTGATGTTTTTACGTTTTATAGGTGGAGCTCTTTCCTGTGTCTGTTCAGCCATGGAGACTATCAATGCTTATGGATATTTTTATTTGAAAAATTTCTCCACATGACAACATAAACTTCTCTATCTTCTAAATGTTTACTGAATAATTTTCTTAGGTATTTGTATGTTGTTGTTTCTCTTCACTGATCTTAACAGAGAAGTCTACAGACCTTCCTTTATCACACAGATTTTATTCTCATTTGTACATTTATAAAGAAAACAATTAATTACAGAGCAATAAGAAATTTTAAGAAAGTGCACTATATCATAATTTATAGTAAAGTGTATTAAAGCATCGTTAGTTAGTCACTTATTTAGTTTGGAGCTGTATCATCTGACACTGTAGAAACATTTCCTCCAGCTTCAGCACAGAATGTTAAAAACAGAACTATTAATGAGAACAAACAGTAGGAACACAGTATCAGCAAACATCATGGCTTAAAATGGAGAGTAAAAATCTAAAAAGAAATAAACAAATTAGTAAAAAGGATTTCCTGTTGACATGTTATTGGTCCTATCTTGTCTGCAGCACCTCCAGGATGCTTCTTATATGTTTCTGGTTATTTTTGCACCAATTTTAGTTTTTGTCAGTAGGAAGTTCAAGTTCAACTCAGTGTGTTTGTTTGTTTTTTTTTTCAAACTGATGCCTGACCTTGAACACCAAACATCTGTCAATAAAGCAATGATATAAAATGCTTATATTAGTACTGAAAAACTGCATATCCACTTTACAAATATAAATAATGATATAAATCCACAGCTGAACTGGAGGAGCAGCTGATCTAGTTCACTCATGTGTTTCTGGACTAAGAGTTGGAGCAAATACCTTATGATTCAGTGATGTTTGTTTTTGTTAAATATTTTGTAGATCCAAGAGTGAGTTTGACTCATGATGATGATGTTCCGAATTAAACAAAGTTGGTCACAAATTCTTCAAAGCTGTTTATTAAGAATATATTCACTTGGACTCATGAGACAGGCTTGTGATCCAAGGGAGCCATCAACTGGACAATTACTGACATGACAACAAAAAAGCTAAGTACAGAGGGGGGAACAGAGGTGAAAATACTTGCTTTAAAGGATTGTAATGTTTCCTTTTAAAATAAGTCTCTAAGGTCAGACAAAGGGACAGAAACTCATAGCTTTCTACCAGCCCAATGACAAAACTATAAGTTGTTTTTTAACATCTACTTTTTCATCTATTTGGCAGTCACAGTGAAAAGTATAAACATTGGCACGCTTTGTCTTGTGATTCTGCTGTTCGTAAAAAATGACCATGCGCAAAGTACCAGACTTTAAGGCTTTGACTTGATGCCAATGGCCTGAGGAGGACAGTATTACCCTTGGACATGTGTAGTCTGCCGTCTACTCAATAGAAGAAGAAGAAGCGCGGAAATGGCACAACTGTCTTCAGTTTCTGGGAGAGTTTAACAATGAGAGACTGATGATGCAGAAGAAATCTCCGTGGTTAAAAACATTAAAAACAGTCGTCCAGGATGATGAGATCCGCCACTGGCTCAGACTGCTGTATATCAGCCGGAGACCCGAGATGAAGTCACGCAGCAGGTATGTAAAACTGTGATGTTCTCAATGAACTAACACAGGAACGATCTGTGCTCAGTCTGTAAGCTAACAGGCTAAAATCAGAGAGCAGCTAATCAAACAAGTGCGTCCGTTTTTTTTAAAGGTCAACTTTTAACAATAGACTTTCATGAGACACATCAAAACCAAACAGGGAGGGAAAGCTTCGGTTTTCTGCACTGTGCCACAGTTCGCTGTCTGCTTCGGTTCACGACGCCTCACTCCGGGGCTACAGACAGTTCTCTGCCGCCTGTGGTGCTCCTCACCTCCGTCTGCACCCACAGACTTCCCGAGGTGGAGGCAGGCCGGCAGGGACTTTGAGAGATGGGCTTTACTTTTAAAAATAGCCCTTAATCAGGGTCTAACTCACTAAAAGATGGCCACATGTCTCTCTCCAACTTAATCTCTTTCTTTTAAGTAATTGTTTTTCATTGAAATGAAATTAATTGTTCAATAAAATGATTACATTTATAATTTAATTAAAGTTAAATGAATCAAGGTGATTTTGACTTTGCTAGTTAACAGGAAGAGAAACAAACTTACACAGGATAAAATGAAATTTGGAGCCAGCAGAAAAAGTCAGATCACAGACAAACAGAAACATTCCTCTTTGGCTAAAATAAAATGCAGATTATTGCTCATCTGCAGTTTTAATCATGGTGAATAATTTATGATTCAGCCAAGTAAGATTCTTCTGTGTGGAGGTTTTTCCCCTGTCAAAAGGCATTGACCATTACCTTCATCTAAACATGGAATTTAAGTCATGTAGTTGCCGTTGTTTGTTTTTAAAGAGGTCATAATATTTTTGTGATGGTATAAATTTATCTTCAAAGTAATAGTTATAAAGTGAATTAATAAGACTTTCCAACAAAGAGAGGGAGTCACATGGTGCTTCTGAAACATTTGTACAAACCTCTCTCACATATGTGAGCAACATGCTCACAGTGTACAGCCCTGCTGACTGAGGCTGCACCTTTACCTGTCTAATCTTTTTCTTTTTACTTTGTTCCTCAAGTCCCACATCAACATGAAGTGTAAGGAGGAGGAAGATCTGGCTGGCCAGCAGGTCTGGAAGCAGGAGAGGAACTTCAATCTGGACCAGGAGGACACAGATCCCCCACAGATCAAAGAGGAACAGGAGGAACTCTGCATCAGTCAAGAGGGAGAACAGCTTGTAGTGAAACACGAGGATGAAGGCATCGTCGTCTGGAGCGGGGAAGAGCGGCTCAGACAGCTGCGTAACATCTGGAAACCTGAGAAAGATTTACAGACCAGCGGTAAAACTGTAATCGCTTTTCTGAAGTGTTAACATTAATATTAAACCTACAGTTTGTATCAGTCAGATCTATTTAAGGGAGATTGGTTATGGCGTCCACCTGAGTGGCAGTGAGACTTCGAGCTCCGACCTCAACGTCCTTTGCCTACGCCCAACAGCGGTTAAAATCCAATCTTTTAGCGGCTGCCTCACCGACTTAAGCTTCTGTTCTGATCTAAACAACCAAGATGCCGACCAAACATAGGTCCAAGCCTAAAACAGCCGGAAAGGATGGATCAGACGATGACCCTAACAACGAACCTGAAACCGAGAAAATGGAAGGCGCTAGTGCTAGTGCTCAACAGACCGAGGCGAGTGTTTTGGCCGCAATTCAGTCGTTGAAAGTACATTTCACTGCTCAACTGCAAGAAGTTAAAATATCAAACCAAGAAATAAAAGAGGCGATTGGAGTGTTTTCGGAGAGGCTCACCTCCGCAGAAACTCGCATCAGTAAAGTTGAAGACGACGTCTCTTCCCTCGTAAGTAAAGAGACTTCCCTTCATAAGAAAATTCAGGAACTACAGTTAAAGGTGGACGACCTCGAAAATAGAAGCCGGAGATCTAATCTGAGACTCGTCGGATTGACTGAGAATACTGAACAAGGAGAAATTACAATATTCTTGCAAACTTTCTTAATTGATGTTTTGGGACGAGACGCGCTCCCATCCCCACCTATCATTGAACGAGCACACAGACTACAAGGGCGAAATACTCCAAATGGCCCACCCCGTGTGATCATCATGTAATTTTTGAATTATCAAGACAAGATGAGGGTGATGAGAGCGGCACGTCTGAAGGGAAAAATAACGCACAACGGACATCACATTATGTTTTTTCCTGATCTGTCAACGGAAGTCCAGAAACAACGGAAACAATACAACCAGGTAAAACAACAACTCCGTGAAATGCATATAAACTTCGGACTGATCTTTCCAGCAAAAATGAGGATTCTCCACCATGACAACAGGCTCCTCTTCCACACACCAGCGGAGGTGGAAGATTTCATGCGAAAAGTCCGGCAACCAAACGAGGGATAAACTTCACGCCCACTCAGAAACGCTACATCAAATATATGCAACTCTGATGAACAACTCCAAACCGGACATATAACGGCTGCTGGTGTACAGGTATGATATAGATGGCCTTAGGTATGCTATGTCTAAATCTTTTCATTCAGTTACATTTGTATGGCCACTTCTTTAGTTAATACGGTCGGACCTAAGTTTGTAACTTCAATCATGAGGACGCTCTATCAGCTCCTTCACACGGATCTGATGCATAACCAATCCGCTATGACTTTGGGGGGGAAGGTTTTGAGATCTACACCGATGGAAGATCTCTGGGTTGTTTTTTTTTTTTCTTTTGTTTTCTGGTTTATAAGAGATTGTTTTTAAAGTGCAGTGCTCTTGAAATAACAACTTGTGAGTCTCGACAGGAGAGACGAGATGTAGTCAAACCCAGATTACTAAAGGTACAAACTGTATGAGTAGTTATTCAAATATTGATCTAATTTCCTGGAATGTAAGAGGCCTTAGAAAATATATTAAACTGAAAAGAGTAATGGATAGAATAAAACAATATCACCCAAAGATAGTCTTCATTCAAGAAACACACTTACTCGTGAATGAAACTGACCGGATAAGGAGGAGATGGCCAGGTCAGGTTTTCTTTAGCCACTTCTCAACACATGCTAGAGGAGTGGCAACACTCATTCATAAATCAGTACCCATGTGTATTAAAAAAAAACCATATTGGACCCCGCAGGGAGATTCATTATTCTACAATGCTCCGTGCTGAATCAAGATTTAATATTAGTTAATGTATATGGCCCCAATATTGACGACTCCAACTTTTATAATAATCTATTTCTCTCTATTACAGACCTTCACGGTGAGATAATTGTTGGGGGGACTTTAATTGTACCCTAGAGCCCAGGCTTGATAGATCATCAGGCTTAGACTCTTCCCATCCAAAATCTAGACAAGTCATACAACACTTTATGTTTGAATTGAATCTTAAAGATATATGGAGATTAAAAAATCCAACAGGGAGAGAATATTCTTGCTACTCAGCCAGTCATAATAGCCGCAGTCGCATAGATTATTTTCTTATCTCAAACTTTCTTATCTCCAGAATTAACAGCTGCTCATATAAAAGTGTGCTTATATCTGACCACTCAATAACCACGCTTAACTTCTCAGTCACAGCAGCTTTTAGACGTAACCCTATTTGGCGTTTAAGACCACACTGGCTGCACAATCAAAAATATTTGGAATATGTAGGCAAAATATTGATGACTATTTCTACTTCAACAAATCCGAAACTACAGCCTCAGTAAGATGGGAAGCTTTTAAGGTCTTTATTCGTGGACAGATGATAGGCTACACCAAAAACAAAGCAAATAAAAACTATACTGAGATGTTGGACCTCGAAGGTCAAATAAAAGAAGTGGAACTTGAGATAAACCTGAATGACTCTAAAGAAAACCAACAAAAACTTTTAAGATTAAGAGCAAAATACGATAAATTAACTACTGAGAAAGCCTCAGCTTTCTATGACAGACCTACTATGACCTATGACCTATGACCTACTATGACCAAGGGGAAAAGGCAGGAAAACTTTTGGCATGGCGTATAAAAACGCTACTGAACGAACAAACAATAAATGAAATTAGAACTGCAGACGAAAATATCACAGATCCTCATAGAATAAGTGAACTCTTTGAACACTACTATTCACAACTATATACTTCAACAGGAGATACGACTCGAGAATCACTAGAATCCTTCTTTGACTCAATAAGTACCCCGTTACTTTCTGAAGAAGCCCGATGCGAATTAGACTCTCAGTTATCGATGAATGAACTCTCCAATGCAATCGATAAATTAAAAATGGGAAAAACTCCCGGCCCAGATGGAATTCCACTAGACCTTTTCAAAATATTTAAAGATAAATTAATATTCCCTCTGTACGACATGCTGGTGGAAAGCTATGATTCAAAAGAGCTTCCCCCCTCCTTGCGAAATGCACTTATAACGGTATTCCCTAAGCCTGGGAAACCGCCTACAAAATGTGAATCTTATAGACCAATTTCACTAATAAACTCTGATGCCAAGATAATAAGCAAAGTACTGGCAAACAGACTTGAACGGTACCTTCATCTTCTTGTTGATAATGACCAAAATGGGTTTGTAAAAGGCCGACAAACGCAGCATGGGATTCGCAGAGTACTGAATGTACTTTACACAAACTCAGAACAACTAGACATGGCTCTGCTTTCCTTAGACGCAGAAAAAGCTTTCGATAGGGTCGAACATAATCTCTATAAGGTACTATCTCAATTCGGCTTTGGCAATTACTTCATGACCTGGGTTAAAATATTATATAATAAACCTATAGCCTCAGTTAGAACCAACAATATTATATCTAGACCATTCTATCTAGGTAGAGGTACACGTCAAGGCTGTCCCCTCTCACCTCTTCTTTTCGTCCTAGCAATAGAACCACTGGCTATTGCGATAAGGAACAACCAAAACATCTCTGGCATTAGAACAAATAATATTGAGTCTAAAATTGGATTATTTGCAGATGATATTATTTTAATGCTGTCTAAATTAAAGAGTTCAATTCCTCAGCTACTTAAAACAATTAACTTCTTTGGCAATATCTCCGGTTATAAAATTAATGAATCCAAATCGGCCATCCTCTTTTTTAATCATTCTGAAAGAACTAAACCACCTATTCAAACAACGTTTCAAATTGCCAGAGACAGTCTCACTTATCTAGGTATAAAAATCACTCCAAAAATTAACGCAAATTATTCTCCTACTATCAACTCTGTTGTTGGCTTAATCAATAGATGGTCTATGCTACCAATCTTGATGATTGGACGTGTAAATATTCTCAAAATGAACATCCTTCCAAAATTTCTATATCTCTTCCGAGTCATTCCTCTCAACCCTCCAGATGACTTCTTCACAAAGACAAAAACAATATTCAGTAAATTCATTTGGAATAACAGACGAGCTAGACTGCGTCTTTCGCTACTATATCTTCCGTATGACAGAGGAGGTCTCTGTGTTCCAAACCTCAAATGGTACTACTGGGCTGCCCAACTCTCTGCGGCCTCATGCTGGTTCTCAACAACTACCCTACCCTGGGTAAATTTAGAAAGGTCAAGTACTACCCCTTACCACTCAGCACTTATCTGTACTCTGCAAAATATAAAGATCTGATGAAAGATACATCAAACCTCTTTGTTAAAAATACTATTCGTGTGCGGTTCGAGGCACTCGAGTTTAAAAATGAAATGCCAGCACTATCCCAATTCTCACCTATCTGGGGCAATAAGGCCTTTAAACCCGGTTGGAAAGATTTGGGCTTTAAAATATGGGCCGACAGAGGCCTGTGCAAAGTTGCAGATCTATTTGACAAGGACACCTTAATATGTTTCAATGGCTTGACTCAGAAATTTGACATTCCAACCAAACATTTCTTTAAATTTCTTCAAATCAGAAGCTTCATTTCAAAAACTCAAAAATCTCTAACACCGCCCACCCTAAACTCATTAGAGGATATAGCAATAAACCATCAGCTGAAGAAGGGTTTAATTTCTCGCTTCTACAATAACCTTAGAGACGGCTCTCAAATATCCTCAGAAAAAGAAAAACCCGCATGGTGTCAAGACTTAGAGTGTAGTATAACTACAGAGGAATGGCAAAAAGCTTGCTTGAAAGCTCAAACACAATCTATAAACACTCAATTTAAACTAATCCAGTACAAATGGTTAATGAGAACATATATTACCCCAACATTATTAAATAAATTTGACCCCAAAACTCCGGACATATGTGTTAAATGTGGGGAAAAGGGCACACTGATGCACTGCCTATGGGAATGCTCAGAAATTCAAAAGTTTTGGAAGGAAGTTTTAGAAATAATTGCACATATTACAAGTGTCAAATTGGATCCATGTCCTAAATTATGCATCCTAGGAATTTTCCCCGCTGAAATCCAGCTGAGCAAAGCTAACCAAAAAACCACAACCTTCTGCCTGCTACAGGCGAAATACAGTATAGCCAAATCATGGAGATCCACTAGTAGACCACACGTGAGAATTTGGTTATCGACATTGTCAAAAACCCTTGCTCTGGAGAAACTTACGTCTATGATAAAGGGTAAACATGCTTCCTTCAAAAAAATGTGGGGAAATCTTTTGTTATTTTTGGAAGGTGAGGAAATGATCGATAATGTACAGAAATGATTCTATCTATTTAACCTGTATGGAGAAGTAACGTCACAGCTGCTAAAGAAAACCTGGGGAACCTGCGATTGCTGGTCTGCTAAATAGAAGGACAGGAGAAGGGACGTGAAATTAAATGGATTGGAAACGGAAGAGGACGCAGCTTATCATTGCAACCACTAATCTGGATGCCTCTCTAACTAACATGATATCCTTGGATTAAACTTCAGCCCGAAACCCTGGAATGTTATACTTGCTTGATTTTTTTTCTCTCTGGAGCACTATCTGTAAACCTTTGCTTCAGGGTCTTTTTTTTTTCTTTTTTTTTTTTTTTTTTTGTTGTTGGGGGGTTATTTTGGGTTGCATATATTTTTCTGAAATAATATATGAATGATTTTCATGGGAGAGTATATATAATATATCTCTGTGTCCTCCTAACATTAATCATTTACGATGTACATAAATCATTATTATATACTCAGTTTTTTGGTTTTTTTGGTTGATGGAAAAGTAATAAAGAATACAATTTTAAAAAAAGTCAGATCTATTTAATGTGTATTCGTGAAAACATGACAGGGAGTTTTAAATGGACTGGTTCTTATATAGCGCTTTTCTACTCAATCTTGAGCACTCAAAGCGCTTTACAAAACTTGTGCATTCACCCACTCACTCCCATTCGCACAAGCACATTTTTCTTAGTGCTTTCTACCAACATTCAGACACACATTCCACAGATCAAAGAGCAACTTGAGGCAACTTGGAGTTAGTATCTTGCCCAAGGATATTTGAAATGCAGACTAGGTGAAGCCGGGAATCGAACCGATCAGTAGATGATCTGCTCTACCGCCTGAGCTACAGCCACCCCCAATAGTGAAGATTATTTTGAAAAATATCAAGATGTAGATCAGTTTCGAGATCAACTCCAAAATAGATCATCAGTCAGTCAGTAATAAGTGAGTTCTTTTTTGTTTGAAAGGTTTTTTTTACTCTTAATGTTGCTGAAAAATGTCAGAACTCAAGTTCTCATTTGCATCAGAGTGCACAAATAACTTCATTTTTACACACTTTTAATTTCACCTGCAAATGTGAGCAACATGCCCTCATTACAGACTTTAACTAAAACTTTATCTTCTCAGAAGTGTTTTTCTATAATTACATTTTTTTTATTGTTCGTTTAGACCTCCACCAGCAAACTGCCTGTAAGGAGGAGGAGTTTGTCGCCAATCAGCAGGAGAGGAACTCAAGTCTGGACCAGGAGGACCCAGATCCTCCACAGATTAAAGAGGAACAGGAGGAACTCTGCACCAGTCAGGAGCTGGAGGAGATTGTACTGAAGCAGGAGATCAATAGTTTTATGGTGACTTCTAGTTTTGAGGAAAGTGACCTCAGTGAATCAGAACCAAACGATGACCAGCTCCTTGCTCTTAACTTTCCTGAACCAGAGCTTGAGGAACAGGAAGAAAACCAGCATGTGGACTCGGGATCAACTAGAAATGCGGAGCTGAAGAAAAGGAGACGTCACAAAAACCGAACAGATAAGTCTCGGAGTGAAACTGATACAAGTAAAAAATCTGTAAGCTGTGACACTTGTGGAAAAACTTTTCAGTGTAAATCCAACCTGACGAGACACATGAGAGTTCACACAAGTGAGAAGCCACATTCTTGTAGCACCTGTGGGAAAAGATTCATTTGGAAATCAGGATTGGAAACTCACGTAAGGATCCACACAGGCGAGAAGCCACATTTTTGCATCACCTGTGGGAAAAGATTTAATAAGAAATCCGGATTTGAAAGTCACGTGAGAATCCACACAGGCGAGAAGCCGTATTTCTGTAGCACATGTGGGAAAAGATTTGGTAAGAAATCAGGACTAGAAACTCATTTGAGAATCCACACCGGTGAGAAAGCGTATTCTTGCAACGTCTGTAGGAAAGAGTTTAGAGACTTGTCGACTATGAAAAGTCACAGAAGGATCCACACAGGTGAGAAACCATATATTTGTAGCTCCTGTGGGGAAAGATTCAGTTGGAAATCAGGACTGAATTTTCATCTAAGGATCCACCTGAGTGACAAACCAAATCACTGCAGCACCCGAGGTAGAAAATGACCTCATGCTCCAAGTCACGGTACATTTCCTGTCCACAGCAGTGAAGGGCACTCTATGTTGTTTGTTCCAGCCCTGACTTTATGTTTCTCTAAGTTTGATATTTTTTTTATTGGTCTTTAAAGGTGACACAAATATTTATTGAACATGGATGCTCTTTTAATATTTACCACAGAAACTTGTATTTCTTCTTCAGTATAGAAGAAAACAAACATGAAAATGAGTTTTTCATCACTTGTTCCTTGTAACAACCATGATGTGATTCCTTTTTATCAGCCAATAAATAAGTTTTGATACACAGGAATAAAGATTTAAAAAAGTTCAAGACAAGTATACAATTTTTATTTAAATATGTTTTCTTTGTGATTTATGTTAATGAAGGTTATACTTCAGTATGGCTTTGACCTGGTTGTCCTGGTTATTCTTAGCAACATGTTGCAAGATTTGATTAAAATGTTTGTGACTTATTTTGTGTATTGTGTAATCCCTGCTAAATAAAAGCAGTTAAATGTGCTATATTGGCTCATGATAAGTGTTTATATCATTTTGCCTAAATGCAAGTAAACTCAATGTTTGCCAACTCTGTGTGTGCAGTTTGCTTCATAAGTACAGTAACAGAACTTGAACTACATGGAGCCTATTTTGATTACATCATTACAGATGTAGATATTATTCATAGTTCATATTTCACAGTGTGCTGCAATCTTCTCCACAGACCTGCATTGCTCTCTGTTCAGACCCGTCATCTTCAAGATGTCCACTAGATGTCGTCAGAGTTCCCCCACTTTCCTCATCTATTGTGTTGCCATTACCTGAGCCTGCTTAAAACCTACAGTCCTTTACATATGGGTTCATTCAGGGTCATGTTTAGTGGGCAGGTTTAGTGCGATGAAGGAAACTCGTTTTCTTTAACTTTACCTCTGAGTAAGTAACTGGAGTAACAGACTCACTGATTCCTCCCCACCTGCTGGACATGAACCAGCTGACTGACACTTGTTTTCATTTTCTCATTCATAAAGTTGCTACCAGTTCAATTCATTTATATTTATATAGTGCCAAAAAAACAACAGTTGCCTCAAGGTGCTTTATATTGTAAGGTAAAGAATGTAAAAACCTCCACAATTGAACAAGCTGAAAAGAGCAAATGCTTGGCAGCAGTGGCAGAAACAGGCTGTCTGTCGTAATCACTGTAAAACACTAATCACTGGTCAGTCATTTGTTGTGTTGCAATCGGTTACACTGAGGGAAAAAATTTCACAACTGGATCTTGGAGATAATGTGAATATTTGTGAAAATATGTGAAGATGAGGCTGAAATAACTCTGAGACTCTAAAACATGATGAAATGCTTACATATTGAAATGTGTGTAGTAACATGACCTACAGCTTGTTTAAGAACTCGTGATTTTTTTCCCCTGTTGGCATAAGGTGAAATCCTGCATAAAGGAGGTGACCTTTGCTCCCTGACTCAGACGTGATAAACATGACCCAAATCATTCACGTTGGTGCCAAATAATGTTTTGTTAAAGTTTAACAAGCTTTCCCAGCCTGAAACTGCCAGACAAACAAATCACCTGTTGGAGATGCTGGTTTAGCTCCCTGGGTAAAGTGGGTGACCCAGATGCTAAAGCCCAGCTATGACTCCTGCCTGAGGACTTTTAGTCTTGGTTTGCATCCAACTTTTCTGCCACAATAGTTCAATTTTCTTAATAAAACACCAAATTACAACAAGTTACCTCGAGGCAGTTTATATTGAAGGCACTTTATTCGAAGGTAAAGATCCGACAATAATACAGAGAAACAACAGGTAGAAGCAATGGAAGATTGAAAATAACGGTTGTCATTACTTTTCATTCAGTCATAAGATACAGAAACACCATCTGTTGTGTGTAAAGATGAACAGTAGGGGTAGGGTGATTTTCACCAGATCAAAGCCATGGATTCACAATTATGGTTTGGTGCTGTTGAGTACCTGGATAGAAAATGCACATGTGGAATGGTAGAAAGTGTTCAGCATGCTTTGATGATCTGCTTCAACTATGCTGGGGTGAGCATTACAGACTGCTTCTTAAATTTAATAACCAAATTGCATCAATGGGGAACTATAAATTCTACATTTGGATTTCTGATTATTATTTCTGGCTGATTTTCATTAGATCGACCTGAGTAGGGCAGCGACAGATGTGTGCGGTCCAGAAGTAGAAGAAGAAGAAAGAGGAGAGCAGAAATGATGACATTCTAGGCTCGCTTTTCACCTTTGATGTACTCTTAGCAGGAAGACTTTGGTTTGGTGATGTGTTAGAGATAATTTAGTGGTTGAAGCTACTGTGGACTGACCAGATCTGCCATCAGCTCAGAGTGCTGGATATCACCGCAAACCTGAGACAAAGTCATACAGAACAGGTGTGTAAAACTGTGATGGTCACTGTGATGGCTGCATGCAACCACACAACTGAGACACTTAGTAATATTCATTTGGTCTTTTGTCTTATGTTTACGTTATGCTTTAAAGTTTCTGTGATCATAAGTTAACTAATTTGACGTTTTGAGGTTACCTGTAGTGATGGGACGTTCTGTATCGAGTCGGGTAATTGAGGGGGCGTTTCCGCGATGCGCGTATCGAGGCTTGCTTCATTTATGGGAGGAGCTGAAAATGATGACGTCCGAAGCCTCGCTGCCCGGCTGTACCACGTGACTGGTTCATGAAGTGGTTCGAACTTTGCCGCGAGATATGACAGCGATATAAACCCCTCAGACTTCATTCAAAATGTGGGTGTTTGATGGAGAGTTGCGGTTAGTGAGAGTTTGGAGACAGTTTGGAGGTTTATGAGAGTGAGGAGAGAAAGTCAGGAGAGAATGGAGCCAGCTAAGAAGAGGAGGATGTCCTCCCCTGTGTGGGAACATTGTGATTTTATTCCTCCCAACAAGCTATGTAAATTTCTACAGAAGATGTATTTTCATAATACTGATGCTGCAATACAATTTATGTTAAGCTGTCTTGACTTTTGTACAAGGTGAAGTGTTTGCTATGTGCCAGGGAGCTGGGATATAACAACAACACCTCATCCATGCTTAGGCGCTACAGAGCTTTGCATGAGAATAAGGGGAACACCGATTGTGGAGCAAGACCAGGTGAGCCATCAAATGCCATGATAATATAGCATGCAGTAATGTTACTAAATGATATAACAATATTATACAACTGTAATAAGTTACGTGTGTGATATTTATATTTGTGCTTTGTCTTTATTGTCTTTCCTCAGGAGAACAATCTCAAATAGATGAAGACCTGGTTACCATGGTGATTGAGGACTCCCAGCCATTTAGCATTGTGGAGGACAAAGGATTCAAAAGATGTGTTAAATCATTAAATCCTAGCTATGTTCTCCCCACTAAAAAGGCCATAAAAGCAGTGAAAATTTAGTTTTTACAGAATAAAATGTGAACAGGCAGGACTGTGTAGCTGTCCATACCTCAACGTTACAACCGCACAACCACTGTCCACACCCCAACCACACCTCACCTCACAGTAAATGATCATTTGCATTTTAAGCATTTCCAAATAATCATTTTCCATACTGCCAGTATAAATATACACAGTATACTGCCATCACTACAATATACATGTTTTACACACTCCTTTTGTTGTTGACATTTACAGGCTGTGTGCAAAATGCCACACTCTTCAAATTCATGCCAGCTATTATTTTTACGTCCAGTAGGTGTCCTGCTAGAGCAAATGAAGCTTCAAGAAGCTTTGCGCTGGGGTGAACCAATTGGATGAAAAGCTTCAGTGCTTCACGAAGCTTCATCTGCCCATCACTAGCATAGACTTTGCTTTGCATTGTTTGTTATTTTATATAGGTATGTTATATTGATTATATTTCTGCTCTTTCTCAGTTACCTGACCTCCGCTCCAGTCCTTCCTGGTTTGGCTGAAAGAGGAGGCTGAGGGTGGAGCTGGTTTAAATGCAGAAGCCAATAAAGTGGACTGGACCATCTATTGTGATCATGCAGGGGGAATGGGGTTCTTCTTGAATGATGGTTATCTGTTATCCCTTTAGTTTTCACCTTTGGTTTATATAATGGTTTATTCATTTGCTATATAACTGGAGCTGTTTCTCATTTGGGCAGGTCAGTTTGAGTTATGTTTTTGTTAAGTGATTTTTGAGTAGCAGTCTGTTAAGGTAACCTCTTTTATGGGCCCACTTGGTTCTTACAAACTTTATTTTTTGTTATTTTGAATTTTTGTAATCATTTTGTCCTTTTTGGGGTATAATAAAACCCATTTTTTTGAAGATTACATTTGTGCCTGTGTGTTCCTGGCGGCTTGGATCATGACAATTGGTGGCAGCAGTGGGATTCAGCCAGTGTAAAAGAAAAAATACACACACAAAAAAGGCACAGGTTTTTTTTGTTTTTTTTCTCTTTCCCCCCCACTCCTTATCAAACCATGCAGAGGAGCACGGAGTGCGAGAGCAGTCCGAGGAGATGTACCAAGCCAGCAAATGGGCTCAGAAGGACAAGTCAATGGAGAACAGGAGGAGAATGGAACTTCTGGAGGGGTAGACAGCACTGAGGGCCGAGGTAGGGAACCAACGATATCGGATCTGATCTCTCTTCTCCGTTCACATATGGGGCAGCAGGAGGCCAGAGAGGTTAAACAGAAGGAGGAAAGTGCAAAGCAAGAAGAACATTTTAAAGCACTTCAACACCAGTTTCAGTTGTTACAGGTAGAAGTACAAGCCCGCACTTCTCCAGTGCCTGAAGGTCAGGCAGCTGAATCACCTGATCCAGAATCTCTAGATGACGACATTGTTCCTCAAGCTGGTCCTAGTATATCAGCTACTGGTTTATCAGGTCAGTCCCATTTTCTGGAGCCTAAGTTGCAAAAACTTACCAACGAGGATGATATTGAACATTTTTTGATTACCTTCGAACGCATTGCACTGGCCTGTCGGTGGCGGAGACATGATTGGGTTTTTCACCTTGTACCGCTGCTTACGGGCAAAGCAAGAGGTGCATATGTACATATGGATGTTGATGATTCTTTGGCTTATGATAAGGTTAAGGCAGCTATTCTTTATAAACATGATATCAATCCTGAGACCTATAGGCAGAGATTTCGATCTCTTGATGTAAACCCTGCAGAAAGCCCTAAAGAGTTGTATGCACGGCTGAAGGAGCTTTATGTAAAATGGGTCCACCCTGAAGATAAAACCGTTCAGGACATTGGGGAAATCATCATTCTTGAGCAATATTTACGAATGCTATCTCCTGAGTTGCAGGTGTGGATAAAAGAGCATAATCCACCCTCTGCTGCAGAGGCTGCAAAGCTGGCTGATGTTTTTGTGGCGGCACGGAAAAAGGGACAGCCTTGGAGCTTTATGACTTGGAAAACGAAGGACAGCCGGAAATCACTCCCGCAGAGACGAGCTGCCAATGTGAGTAGGGCTTCATATAGCCATTCACCCGATGGGTCTTTGAAGTCCCCGGCCAAAACCTTGGTATGCTATCTTTGTGGTATGGAAGGTCATACAAAGCCCATGTGCCCTGAAAACTCAGCTAAATTAACCCAAAT